GGATGGTAGTGGCATGGGATAGTAAGACATCTCTTGAGACATGAAGGGTTAGTCACAGGCATACTAGAAGCAGATACTCGACAAAAAGGATTAGAGGAAGACTTCGCAAATAGTTAGGGATGTTGTGTCTTAGGTTTCGGGGAAAGCGAAGATTGACTTAGTATAATAGTAATCTGTACAGTTAATCAAATGCTAGTTCATAAGTTGATGTAAGTAGAGTTTGTAGCAATTGAGGAGGTATTTGGAAAAGCGCGGTATAAAGGTCAATGAAGATAAGAAGGGATGGGATGGTAGTGGCATGGGATAGTAAGACTTCTCTTGGGACATGAAGGGTTAGTCACAGGCATACTAGAAGCAGATACTCGACAAAAAGGATTAGAGGAAGACTTCGCAAATAGTTAGGGATGTAGTGTCCTAGGTTTCGAGGAAAGCAAAGATTGGCTTAGTATAATAGGAAAATGTACAGTTAATCAAATGCTATTACACAAGTTGCTGTGGGTAGAAACTGTTGGAAATGAGGAGGTATTTGGAAAAGCGCGTCATAGGAGTCAATAGCGTGGAATGGCATGACATCTTAGACATGAAAGACTAGCTAGGGACATGCATGAAGCAAACACACGACAAAAAGAGGCATAGGAGGAAGTCGCAGATGGTTAGGGATTTTGAACATCCTAGTTTTTGGGGAAAGCGAAGAATGGCTTAGTATAATAGGATGTGTACTGTTGCTGTTGGTATTGAAGAGGTATTTGGAAAAGCGCGGTATAAAAAAGTCAATGAATTTCTTCTTCTAAGAGATAAGATGGTAGTGATATGGGATAGTAAGACATCTTCTGAGATATAGAGGGTTAGTTAGAGGCATACCAGAAGCAGACACATGACAAAGAGAGGCATAGAAGGGCTTCATAAATGGTTAAGGATTTAGAATGTCATAGTTTTTGTGGAAAGCGAAGATTGGCTTAGTATAATAGGAATGTGTACAGATAATCATAATTCTATTACATAAATGACTGTCTGTAGAAAATGTTAGAAATGAGGAGGTATTTGGAAAAGCGCGGTATAAAAATCAATGATGAAAGGGAGAGATAGGAAGTTAGTGATGTGGGGTAGTAAGACACATAA